TTTTTTTTTTTTTTTTTGTTCTTCTATATTATGGGTTGCTTAGAACATTTCACCTATATCCTCAAGGGCAAGGTGCTTATAGGGCAAATCTTAGATGATTATGTGCATATTGTTTAAAATCTCAACAAGGTTCTTTGCATTTGCACGTTCATAACCACAAGTAGATTTTTCTTTTAAATGGAAAAAATAAATTTATATTAAATGAGAGCACAAAGGATACTTTAACTTGTTACAAGAAAACATCAAACTTATGATGCACTGTACAAGACACCGACAGGGTAAACGCAACCATAGAAGCAACAAATAAAACTAGAAGACCTATTGATCAACTTCAAGAGTGCAGCTTTTAAAAAATCAAAGGTGGATTGTGCATATTTAAAATCTCAAAAGATTATCTATACGTACACCACCTAAAACCAAAAGTATATTCTGTGAAATATGCCTAATTAGGGCTATATTAATTGAGTGACAAAGATAATAGCATAGTGGTGAGGAGAATCAACATCAAATTAATTGATAAATTGGAGGGCTTGATAAAAAGAGAATAACACTTTATTCTCTTTCTAGGTTCATTGCTACAAATGTGAGAATTAATTATGGAGGGACAACACAAAGCATACTGGAATTGATAATCCCGTGACTAATTAAGGCAAATAAGGAAATTCTTCCAACACAAATTCCAATGGCTATAATTCTTCCAACACCCAATTGAACCATCTTTAGAAGTCTGATTTCTAAGCTTGGGACATACATCACCCATCTCATCCACTAAGATAGCCTTGGTCATCACAATTATTCATACATCGCAAGATATTTCCGGTTATATCTCTCAAAATTTTGTCATTTTATGGGCTTTACATCTCTTCAATGAAGCAGAGCCCTTGTGGCTTCAAAGTAGTGTCTTAATAGATAATTCTTAATTATATGTCCTTTTAAGTCACTATAAATATATGAAAGTCTAGACTAAAAAGATATAGAATTTTTATTCTCTTCACAGTTTGTCTAGAAAAAGTTCGTTCTTAAAGTCTGTTATATCTTATTAGTATTTTGGTATCTTAAAGATAGTGATTTCATTCACACCTCAAAACACCTCTTTCTTTCGTATTTTTCTTCTACTATTTATATATTATTTTTCCAACATTCTCTCCCCAAACCAAACATACTCATAGTGATCGATGGTAGATCACCTATCCCACCTACTAAGATAACTTTGGTCATCTGAATTATCCATACAAGATAAGATATTTCAGACTATGTCTTAAAAGTCATCATTTTATAGGCTTCACATCTCTTCAATGAAGTAAAGCTCTAGTGGTCTTAAAGGATTATCTTAACAAATAAGAAATTGAAAATTCAGTTTTAGAATTATCAAATAAAAACTTTAAAATAAATATAGTGAGAAGGGATTTTGAAAAGGAGAAGACACCAATTTATAACATGGAGAACCTGACTACATGTGAACAAAGATTAATCACAAGTCTACAGCTTTGCTTTGTCAACATAGCTAAATTTTGAAGAGATTGAAAATGTGGTGAACTTTTGGGTTTCAACTTCACTTTAATTGTGACTTTGCATCTATCAAAAAAAAAAAAAAAAATTGTGACTTTGCATGGGAACCAACGGATGTAATGGCGTTATCAATGCCTATACCTCCCCTAACAAAACTTTCTTAGTTCTCTACGATTTGATTCTATCAATATATATTCTATGCTACGTGATACACTCATTAAAAAATCATTATTTTTTAGTTTAAAATTAAAAACAGACAAGTTTAATGATATAATTATGCACACAAAATATAAAAACCGATTGAATTGATTGTATTTATAATATATTTTTAATGATTAAACCAATAGTATGTCAAAAAATATGTTGAACCGAGGGTGTATCAATCATTTTCCATATTCTATAAATATACACACAGTGTGTTTTATGTTTTATCAACTACACGCTTTGCTATTGAAAATACAATTAAATCTTCGTAAGATTTTGTAATAAAATTGTTTTATCTTTCACTTATTTAGCTAGTTTAATTAAGGGTGTGTTTGTTTTGGCTGATTTTATCAATTTATAATTTTTTTTCTTTAAACAAACTTGCTAAAATATCTAAAATATTAATTTAAAGCTAATTTTAAATTATTAAGAATATATATATAATTAGTTTTCATCAATTAATAACTATAATTATTAATTAACAACTACCTAGATGTTTTATCAGCCAAATCAAATGGAGCCCAAATCAAAATGAGATAACTAGGGATATATTCACATGGATGTGAGTGTGATACGTCTTTGGTAAATATAAGGCAAATATATATACATAAATTTTTAAACGTGGTCTTTTCACTTCAAGATGGCATCAAAATCTTGTTTGTGAGATCTAGCCAATTCAATCTCCTCAATACAAAACACTATATATATATATATAGATATATATAAATGCCTCTTTATTTGTCTCTTTTTTCTTCTAATCCCATTAATTAATATAAATTGGGAGAAAAATGTGAAAAACATAATATATAAGATAACCAAGAATCAAATACAAAAAACAAAAATTGCATTTAAACTTTCATGATATACATATAACATATAAAATTGTATTAAAATAAAATGCAGATTCAATTTCCACTTCGATAAATAAAAACTTCATTCAAATAAAAGGCAAATTCAAATAAAAATTGCATTAAAAAAGAATTCATTCAGATGGAGCCGTTTGATGAGTACAAAGCGAATTAACTATTCTTTCGGCTTTTACTAATGATCATCCATCCATTACTCATGAGGCTTTAGCTAAAGAATTCCTCAATCCATTACTCATGACGTTTCCATACTTTCTCACTATCCAACTCATGGTAAATGAGTAATCCTACGACTCTCAATGAGCTAAACTATTTCCCTCTCTTTTAATATAGGAAAGGAATCAAAATTGAACAATGCATGTAGCTCTCCTATGATATCTTCCATGTCAAAAAATGGTATATATATATGCTCCACAATTTTGATTTTCTAGACATTATATATTTCCCATACACAATCTAGGCATAACACATATAATATATCCCATGGATCAGGCCTAAGGTAGATTTTGTATATGCACCTTAGCATACTATGTACTAATAAAAACTAATTTTACTGATAAGAAAAAGTACTTGAAGAAATCTCATCAATTACCAAATCACAATCAAGCCTTCTCCCAAATAACACTTCAAAAGTTCACAAGCAAGGTAACCATGGTCCTTCCATAAGAGCCTCTCTCATGTTTTGAATCCTTTTTGGTGCAAGAACCGATACCAAAACACTAATTTGGGAAAGATTTAGAATCCCACTATAATGAATTTGACTGTTTGCAACACCACTTAAGTTGACAAAACTTAAAATACAAAAATAAAATGAGAATCCACTCTAAAAAAAATAAACTCACTCAAACAAAGCAGAATTAACACAAATATTTTTCTTGAAACTTGATGCATACAACGGAGATATCATGGGTATTTATAGGCTGAGGTTAACTAAAGGTAATAAATGAAAAGTAAAATGCAGTTGGGAGTTAGCCATTTTTGCTGACTTTTGTGGCCATTTTGAGAAAATTGCACTAGCCTATTGTAGTTGGTGGTGCTGCAGAGTAGCTTTTACATGCTCGCTACATTTTTCTTGGTGCATTTCTTTAGAATCAATCCATAAGTTCTACAAAAGATCATTAAAAATAAAGTCAACTTTTGTGTTTAAATTTAACCATTTGTTTCTATACGAACCAATGGACTTATGTGCATCGATCATCAATGCCTCCCCCATCAAAATAAGTTGTCATAATATTGTTTAGTTCTCTATTGATCTTTTGTAGAAATTATGGATCAAGAAAAATGATTCAATCATAATAATTCACTCATTTAATATCATATAGGTTTTGTCACTTTTCATTTTGATGTTAAATGAATTAGTTTCGTTCAAAAAGAAATTCTGGTATAAATTG